AGTAAATGTAACTCGTTACTACCCACCTCTGACTGGCAGCCCTTTATAGAATGCTGCTAATTGGCCATCAAAACATACTATTATCTGGGGTTACATATTAAGCTAAACTAATAAGCTACACAAGCTTTATTTACACAAGCTTGTGTAATTTTCCAACTTTTCTTTTTACCTTATAAATATTTTCCTTATGGCAGCACAGTGTGTGTAACGGTTTATACTGAGGATGACATCACTTAATGTTGCAAATAATATTTTCTATTGAAAGTAGAGGGGAAAATGAGAACAGACAAAGTCAGAGCTGAAAAATCATCCTGTTTTATTTTCTTATTCTTTGTGAAAGCCAGTTTAGAGTCACCAGTGAAGATCCGTGTCTTTGGAATGTGGGAATCAGTCCTCAAAAGGGGAGAACACTCAAAGTCCACACAGAAGATCAGGACATTAAAGCAGGAACCTTATCCACTGAATCCCAACATCACTTCTTCAAACTAAACTCCAGTGTTCACAGAACTTATTCTTCTACATAATCATTATTCTGTTTTATAGAAATTGATGAACCTGGCCAACTATCAGTAGCATTATCTTTGTATATTTTAATCATTTAGCATATTATTTCTTTTGGGTATGGATAAAGTCATGTTATTTATCAGTATTTATGTTATCTGTGCAGTATTTATGTTATCTGTTTGTTTGTTTAATTATATGTCTCATATAAAAAATTATATGAGACAGTATGACTCATGTGACCATTTTGAACCCCACCACCCATATTTCACAGCCAGCAGAGATAACACACCTGTTGTCTGGCTAACAAATAGGAAATTACCCTATGGTGTCTTTTGTTAAGTAAATAATTCATGTATTTTATTATCCTGAGTTAATCATATTAATCCTTCATTATGTGAAAGATTCTTTACATGATCTTATTAATCAGTCTTGGTGTAGACAGCGAGAGCGAAATCTGCAGTGATGTTGGGTTCATAGGTGGATGGGATGATCACATACTCTCCAGGTTCCAGACTGTGGAGTTTAATGAGATCTCGCTTAGTGCTGTAAGACTTTTCTGCCTTCACACGCCTGTTCCTCTGAAAGAAATCCTGTTTCAGGTGTCCTTGTGGGGTCTGGGAGAAATATGAAGGAACTTTAGTGAAATACTCTTCTGAGTCTAAGTATCCATTATTATTAAAATGCTGAATTTACTTTTGGTGCACAGACAGTTTCATATATTTGTTATTGTTTGTACTTACCCCTGGTGGAATCTGTTAATTGGAAAATGGTAAGAATAATATCATTAAACTGTTTCGCAGGAACCAATTTCCATAGTAACTTTAAATAATGAATGTGAAATCAGTGAAGGCATTTTTTTTTATTATTATTGTTTTACTAACTCAGCTGCTAAATTAGGAAAAGTGCTTGTGTTTTAATCACAGGGTGATACAATTGTTTTAAAGATTTAGTTTCTTGTCCCTTGGTAATCGGTTGCAGTATTTAACAATTATTTAAATTAAAGGAAGCGGATTCAGAATGAATACCTTATAGATGGCAAGCTTAGTTTTGTGATAGCGTATCTCAATGCGATTTCCCTGATGAGGTTTC